CTCAGACTCAGCACGCTGAAATGCCCGGATCAAACGTCAGACTCACCACAGCAGATGTCACCTATTCCATCCGAGCTGGCTTCGACGCCTATGTCTGCTACACATAACGGACCTGTTCCTGAACAGATCTATGAGATGGGACCTGGCCGGTAGCCATGCCCATAGCACCACGTAAATAAGTATACTGGAAATTTCTTTTCTGGAAACAAAAGAATTAACATGACCGATTTTGACTTCCTCGCATTTTGTTATTAATGTTTTATATATCTAGCCTGCCTCTCCGCCAATTCCCTTTCTCTCTTCATCATTCATATACTCTTCAATTTTTTTTCAGGAATCACTTGCCTTAGCCTTTGCTTCGCGCCTCCCCTATTCATAGGGATTCTCATTTATGTTTATTATTTATATACCGACTACATACCCTTTCTCCTACCCAGCTACCTATAACCATGTGTATATCCTTAGATATATTAACTTGTCAATACTAATCTAAATGATTCAAATTCGTATCTAGCCTCTCTCTTCAAGCGAGAAACGCTAATTTGTAGACTTTGAAAAACCCTAAGGGCTGTAATGAATTCCTACATGACAAGGTATCGAATGTCCGAGAAAAGCATCAATAAACAACGTCCTCCTTCTAAATTCATTCCTAAGTCTTTCAAGCTCACCGCTTGTCGAATTATCTGTGATCCAGGCAATACAAAGGTGTGTGGGTTCAATTCGTCAAGCACCAAGTCATTATTTGCGTCTTGCCACAGTGAACCCTAGACGGGCAAATTTACTTCTTCCACAGCACGGCAAATACCAGGGAAGTCTCTCCTTTCGTGTCTTGAGGTCCAACAGCGGTTTACCGATTCTAGAATGTACGATTTAGAGCCCAATGCCATCAAAAAAGTCCTGCCACAGCCGTACAATACACTCTTCGGCCCGAGATTCTTTTTGTCTCGACAATTGCTGGGGATTTATTGAATTACCCTTTAATCGTCTTAAAACCAGAAGCAAAAGTCTAGCTCATCTATGGGATGCTTTCTACCGTTATCGGCTGTCTTCGACCGTGGCTAACATCAGCCTTAGTTGGCTGAGTTTGTCCTCAATTTGGAGGGTTGTAAGTTCTGTGGGTATAGCAGGCTCAGCCTTCTCCACGACTTTATCGTCGGCACCCGCTTCGAGTAGCATTGCTGCTATATCCGCCCTCCCTGTTGTCTTAGCCAACAGCAACGTCGAAGAGAGGACATCGTTTATAAACCTGTCATCTCCATCACTGAAGCCACGTTTTCGATTTGCATAATCAATTAAACTTGTAACAAGGTCCAGACTGGGTGATTCGTCTGAGAAATGCGTGAAGTTGGAAAAAACATTCAGTATCTGCGCCGGCCCCTGAAAGACCAATTCCTCTAGAAGGAGCAAAGTGAAGTGATCGTTCTGTAGGCGAAGTCCATCATTGATTGAGGAACCGCTGCTGGAGCTGATGTGATCGGCGTGTTTGTCATAAATGAGAATCCTCAAGAACGCCCTTAAACGAACTTCCTTCTTCCATGGATGCCTATGGCTGACTGTTCGTGCCATCAAGTCAACGTCATAGTACTGGTCAATGGCCCATGATAAAACATGTAACCTTTGGCCAGGGCTCAATGTCTCTAGTAAAAACTCCAGAGGCTGGGCTTTGAGTCGGTCAACTGAGTGTATGAGAAGGGCACCATGAACACGATACGGGGAATTTTTTATCGCTTGCTGAACAGTTGAACGGAAGTCACTGCGGCTCTCCGTCAATGCAAATAGTAGAATGTCAAACTGGACGGTTAGTGGTGACTCTAAGAATAGCAGCCTAAACAGTTCAGATCCTCCTGGAACCTCCAAAACGAGTTTTAATTGGCGTAATTGGCCCAATACCAGAACAGTGTATTCGCCCTGACACTCTATAAGACATCCAAAACCTTCGGGATAGTTTAATGATATGGTGAGATCGAGTAGGGATCGTATAATCGAATGAAACTTAGGAAGCCGTGGTTCGGTGGAACGTCCGTATGCCCCAGAGGTCCTTCTCTCACCCAATAGACTTTGCGGAAAGCCTAGGGGGACCGGAGGCTGACCAAAGATCCCACGCTCTGAAGAGCCACTGGATGCACTACCAAATAGCACGGGGGTCGGGTAAGGGCTAGGTGAGGCGGAGTCACGACTTCGCCATTGATCTCTGCGAGTAAGCGAAGGCACCCGAGGCGTGGGAGATGATGATGTAGGCTCCTGTTGAGTGGATCTGCCTGTATTTCCGTACTTTTGCCTGTGCGAATGATACATTGGGGGGCGCGGATGAACTTCCCGGCGTAGTACATCAAAATAGTCTACTCTAGACTCATAATCGGCCGACCAGGGGCACTCTAGTAGCCGCTTTAGAGTTGTTGTATCTCGATGCTGGATGATAGAATGTGCTGGTGACCACTCGTTGATATCTAAACTAGGCCTTATATCTTTGTCTAGCAGGAAGTTGACCATGCGGATCTGCCCATGGTGAGCCGCAAAATGAAGAGCTGTCCATTCATTTGGGTCTTTCTGATGTAATAATGAGTTGTCTCTTCTTATCAATTCTTGCACACTTTCAATATCTCCACATTGGGCCGCAAGATGTAAGACGGTACGACCATCTGGGAGAGTAAGCTTGGTTTTAACCACACGGGCGATGAGATACATAATCGCAGTCCAGTTATTATCCGCGGCAATGCTAAAAGCTGTGGTCCCACTATGTGTTATTAGATTGACGTTTGCCCCAGCCGAAAGGAGTGATATCACGGCATTTTTGTCTCCCAGTTCTATCGTTTTATGTAAAGCTGACTGGCCATATCCATCTTGGGTATTGATTGGTACCCCAGCTTTAATAAGACTTCCAATTAGTTCTGGATGGCCATTGTCAATAGCAAGGTGAAGTGCTGTCTGCCCTCTCTCAGTACGTATGTCTGCATTCTCTTTTGGAGAGGCAAGCTGGATGACCTCTTCACAGGCACCGACTATGGAGCAGACATGGAGCGACGTCAACTTGGACGGAATCCGAAACCTTCCGTAGGTATATTGCGCAAACGCAATCCAAAATTTCAGGCCTCCAAGTTCTGGATTGAAGAACTTTTGAATAATAGGTTCTAATAAGCCCTGGGACTCGGCATAGATGGTGGGAATATGGCGAGACCAGTTGCATGCAGCATAACTAAGGAAAGGGTATTCGGCAACGAGCCTATCCAGAGAATCTTCAGGAATTTCCTCAGAAATTGAAAGAGTGTGACAACTTTGGAAATTAAGATATGTGAGGCATGACATTGCAATTTTGATCGAGGAATCAATATCGCTGATGTAAAAAGGATTGAGCTCCCCCGACTCTAGAGAAGGGGATATCAAGAATTCCCGAACAGAGTGGTGAGCTAGCATGATGTGTCCAGTTGCCTTTGAGCGCCGTATGAGATTACTGCAAATCTCGAAAACATCATCTTCGTTGCGAAGCCTATTTCCCTTGAGTTGCTGTGGATTCATCTGATCGGGATCTATAGCTATTGCTTCCACTAGTTCCGCCGGATGTAGGCCACGCTCGGAATACAGAATAAATTGCAGTATTCTGAGGGCTAGACGTTTGTCTTCATCCGACAGTTTTGACAGAATCATTTCGTATGTACGTCCTAAGCCTCGTGGTAATGATTTAAGAGCTGATTTTGGTATCGCTGTCCGTATGCGTGACAGAGAATCCAGTTGATAAACAACCCATAAAAACCTGTGTATTTCACTTAGTACTGCAAAGACCAATGTAAACTTAGGGGATATTCATAGGTGGCATGACCTACATTCCATCTGCACCTTTGACCAGCCCTTGAATTATTTCTTCTATGTCCGGAACGTCATGCCACCGGAAGTTTGAGACACGAAATCGGACATATCGTTCAATGTCGCCGTCGATAAGGTCACAGTTCAAACTTATGTGACGACAGCTTGACAACGAATCAACAGCTGTAGCGTTACTTCGACTTGATATCAAGAATTTGAAAGACTTGGAAGCGATGGAGATCTCTCGAATAATGCGCAGGAAGCCGTCAGAGTCAGCAAGCTCATCGATGCCATCAATAACCATAAAAACGGTGGATAAGCAACTTCCTATAGTATTCAAGGTCTTTTTCATTTGTTCCAGGGGAGGGTATCTAGACCGAGATTTGACGCGGCTCAGAGCCTCGAATGTATCACCCAAGGCAGATCTCGACTTAGCTTGCCGAAGAATTTGGGACACAAGTCTACCAAGCAGCTTTCCAAGGCCGTCCTGGCGTGTCTCTGGAGACCCGCAATAGTGATAAGCCACGCTCAACTCGTCCTTGTTTTCTGCAAGCTCCTGAAGGTAATCGATAGCCATAGACCTGATAGAATGTTAGCCAACTACATTCCCAATTGTTATAAGGGAATTCAAATATCCGAACCACTTACATTAGAACCGTTTTTCCCGAGCCAGCTACAGCGTACAACATTAGCTCTCTCTAAATAGACTATATGTGTGATAGAGGTATGTACCTATGCCATCAACCCAGAGGTTGGAGGAATCGCCCGATATCCAATCTATAAATTCAAAGCTGCTAAGAAACCATGTCCCTGACTCCGGGTGTCTTGATTCTAAAGAGTCACTATGAGCTGCTACTGTGGCATTCCCCAACCAATCGAAGATTTCGTCCTTCACCTTGCCTAAGATTTGTGTAAGGAATCCTATGTACCCTTGAATATGCAACAGAGAGTAAACTACTTACCCTGTATTTCAGCCTCATGTTTTTCTTCAAGACGTCTTTGTGCGGCCCCGATCGTCTCCAATTGATTCTTCATCAAAGAAGTGATCGACCGGGATTCTTCTTCGCGTGCGCTGATAAATGTTATCGACTGCCGACATTCACTAGGGTATAATTAAGAGGTTCATACCAGCTGTTTATCTGAAAGGCTAGTATAAAAAAGGATTTGTAACGCTCTAGTTTGGCAGCGTGTTTGACAGCCTCTTTTAAAAAGACCTCACGGCGAAGAACCAGCTGGAAGGAGGGCGTGATGGATATCTTTTCTACCAACTTTTTCACATCTTCTAATATAGACTTGCAATCGTTGAGAGCAGTATAAAGATGCTCGGTTGGAGTCGTTGGTGACTGACCCCTTCCGCTGGGTCTTGGTAGGTTCAGAGAGTATATGGAAAAAGGGGCTGAAGCTTGAGGCTGTTCAAAATGTGCCTGCACACCAACTAAGAGACCAGAAAAACTGGAAACTTCATTGAGAAGCGACTTTAGCTCTTTATCGGTATTGATAAACCTGTCCGAGATTTGGAAACCTTTCGAGATGATGACTCCTGCAAGCGTTATCAGTCCAGCGACACTGGCGGTGATGGACAACGGATCCATTTTCAGATATTGCTGTTAGTTCATCGCCTATGTAGAAGCTGTATATTCACTTGTAGCCACCGAAAAGAGTATATATAGAGGGTATGGGGGGTGCTTGCTGGATGAATAGCATGAAGATCCCTCCAAGAGCTGATGATTGCTGGCTGAGTGTATGCAGGACGCCTAGGAGCCTTGTTCAGCTGCAGCCTGCTATCTCTCCGCAATGACTCGTATTCAGCATAATGCTGGTCCAAGGGGACCCTGCTATAGCCTTGTAAGATATCCATGATCGCATAGCGGATGAGATGATTAAACCTAGAGAGCTATAAGTCGGAGGTACGAGTTATAGAACATCCACGATATTCGAATAATCCGTGTTTAACTAATGGTTATATGGGGTGGAAGGGGGAGGGGGAGGCTTTTAATGGATATCCTGGCTGGCTTAGACTGGCGGCAATTTACCGTTATAAACTGGATAATGTTCAGGGGGATAAAGGAGTTTGGGACGAAAATTAGGTATATCTCATTAGGTGCAAAGGACAGGCTCAAAATATATACTTGAAAACATCGGTCAGAAAACCCACTCAAGGACAACGCATCCTAGCTTAGCGCTGAGAGCTGTGCAGAGAGGCTTCCCTTGTCATACTTGGCGTACTTCCCTCTTCCCTTGTCGATTTCATGGTATCTGTCCCAGAACCTTGCGTAAAGAGGCTCAATGACAGCCTGTACCTCACGGGATAGAGACGTGCGAACAGGCTTTTCCATATTTAATGACTTATGTTTCGCGATCAGTTCGTCGAATGAAGAGTTGAAAGCCTTGAATTTATCTTTGATCACATCTCTATCCTTGGAGGAGAGTGACTTCACGATGGCGCTGGAATCGACGGGTCCTCCTGAGGTCGGTCGGGCACCGCCTCTGCTTGTATATTGTACGTCCAGCAGATGCGAGGACGGATCACGCCAAGCATCAAGGTATATCGACACACCCTTCTTGCGCCATACTTCAAGTCTACTTGCGTTTTCTGGCGTTGACAGACAGTTCGATAGTTCTGGAGTACTGCGTATGACTCTGTCGACTATGTGGACATTATTAGCAATAAAGGCGCCAAGCGTGGCTTTGCTTTTGTGCACCGCCCGGCCGCGAGCTTCAAGGGAAGATAGAAGCGTGTCGATCATGTCGAGTATGAAATGGGATAGTAGGGTAGAGCTGTCTGGGCCCACGTCAAGAGGTGCGGTGTTGGGGACTGCAGAGGGTTTCCAGTTACCGTCTCCTAGTGATGTGAGGATGGAAGCTAGAGGTTTGGAGTAAGCGGTGAGCGTGGATAGAGAGCTCATTACTTCGTTCACCAGTGGAACAGGTGAGCCGTCCTGGGGTAAAGTAGTAAGGGCTGCTGATCGACGCTTGGTCTCTTCTAATAGTTCTGTCAGAGATGATTTGGCTGTTTCTCGTATGGGCCTTAGAGCTTCAAAAAATAGATTCTTAAGATCTCCCGTCTTTGAATCTAGGCGGTATGATAGAGAAGTGACGATATCGATTATTTCAAAAGCAAGGAAACAATCGTTGATCAGGTTCGATTTGATATACATGTTCAGCTCTCGCATAGTTTTGGAGAATTCTGCCAGAGCGGGTCGACATGTTGCCTGAAGAGCCTTGCCTTGTTGGTCTGGAGGGAATATTTTGACGATGTTTTCATACTCTGAAACGAACATTCCTTCAATGACATTTGAGTATACGCCGATTCCATTGGTGCCTTGTTTGTAAGGACCGTCAACTGCCCTGCGTTTTGCCGTATTGATTGAAGCGGTAGCTAGGTTTTGCAAGCTGTTCGTCAAGTAAGGGCCGCGGACTTCCGCGTAGATAGAGATAGCTGGGTTTTCTATATGACCTTGCTGAGGGATGTGCTTGGAGGCAGCGGTAATTGCACCGGCAACAGGAGTAAGTTCGGAGAAAGCATCCTGGGACAGTAACGGAAAGGAAAGTTCTATAGAAATATTAGCTGGGTAAAGTTGCACGTGTCTATCTTCGCTAAAGGTAGGTAGAGTAGCTCACGTTTCGTAAGGTAATGAAGTGGTTCGATAGTATTAGCTTCCGCTCTCAGGGTGGAGTGGAAGAGATCCTGGAGCTTACTGCTACCCGAGCTGAGCAGTGAGCTAAATTCAGAGACAGCCTTTTGGTTTGAGCGCAGTTTGGTAGCGCTCAGGTCCGTGAGTGCGAGGTCGATACGTTTCAACGCCCCAATGAATTGGGGCAAGCCAGCATTTTGCGGTCTATAAAAGTTACGAGTTAGATAAAACAGATGGCAAAACAAAGGTGGCAAGGCTTTTGATAAGTGAAATCCGTACCCAGCCCGTATGATACTCTCTTCCTGGCCCTTTACGTCTAACGGCCGGCGCATTCGCTCGATAGCATCGTTCACCCTATCGATATTTGTGTTGGTGGCATGTAGCGCCTGTGTGTTGCCATATATGGGGCCGATCGCATTCTTGACCACCTTTCCACTAGCCTCTAGCCGGGATAAAGAGCCTTGAATCCGTTTAGTGAGGGTGTTGAGCTTCTCGAGGTCCGCATAGAGCACTTCGACTTCTGCGCTTTCTTCGGCGTAGACGGCGTTTCGTGGAGCGCCCATTGCGCCGGCCTATCTGAAGAGTGTCAGTCATTGGCAGATGTGCGGCAAATCTCAGGACAAGAAGGTAATACCGAACTCCCGCTTGACGGGTGCTCCTTAGTTCATCGGGGGTAGCACAAGAGTCCCCTTTTCACATAGGGGGTAACGGCTAGTCCAACGGTCCGGAGGCGGGGAGTAACAACAGTCCTTCCGGCAAGATTTCACTCTGAGAGCCGACAACGACCTTTTGCCAAAGTCTTCTGTAGTAAGAGACGGTAGTTGGAGGTCAAAACTGTGTCAAAGATGGAAACACACAAGTGACCGGCGTGGACAAGCCGCATGATAAGGGGATGAAATGATATCATGGACGGCTTTCCTTTTGCCAAGAGCCTCATATTGCCAAGACTTAATCTCCAGCTAGAACCAATGATAAATTAACGAAGCTAGATAAGCCAATGACATGCGATTTTCTATAATTTGACAATCCGACTCAGCTTTTTTATTGGTGTAAATAATAAAAATACCATTCTTCATGTGATATAAAGCTTATCTGTACCTAAGTGATAAGCGAGAGAAGCAGCAGCGAGACGGTTGTTGCAGTGTCATATGTATATCAGAAGAAGACGTGGGGGAGGCCTCTATCTAACCAAGGGGAGAATATCGGATGGTGTAGTTCTGCTAAACTGCTGCTTGAAACACCTGGGGCAACGTGAAGCACTACGGAGTACTAGCTTGCTGAACCTGTATGTGAGTGCACTTGAGAACGTAACTATGACACCATAAATATTTGGCAAGATACGGTTGCCAAAAACTAAACAACAACCACTAAGAATCTTGGATTTAGCCATGATGAAGCGTCTATAATAGCCGTGATAAGCGCCGGGATCGCTTCATGCCGGAATATCCAAGCGCCGACCGAAACTCAATTGCTGCCGCGGGCAAATGTTGGCCGGAAACCCCAAATCTCCCGTCGAGACAACAGGATCTTTGTCAACCGGGACATGGCAGCTACTTCAAAGTAGACATTGACTGTCATCAACCATCGATCGTGCTGTCATGGGCACCGCTAGGTTCCTACAGGCGAGATGGCGACAGGCGCTGAAGGGAGCGCTATTCGTGTCCGGCAGTGCCTCCATTGCGCTGCTGGGGAAGCAGAGTGTCCGGTGTGATGCCGGACGCAGCACTGCGGTGTGGAATGCGAAGAAAACGTCTCAAACCCCAGAAGAGTCTGTGCTGGATAAGCTAGTCAAGTCGGGGGTACAGTCCGGAAAGAAGGAGAACAAGGACAATGCTGATGCCGGTGGCGATGCTGAGCCTAAGTCTGCATGGGAGACGATGACGGACAGGCTCGGGACTGCAGAGGGCTACTTCAGCTCTTCGGACTGGAGCGCAGACTGGTCGGCTGTCTTCAAGGACTATATCTCGCCTGGCTGGACCTTTTTCTCGCCAGATATCCTTCGAAACCTGCAACGGGAGCTCTCAATGGCTCCCGGGTCCGTGGCCGACGATGTATGGAAAGAAGCCTGTGACCCTAGTTTCAACCCTAGCATTGTTGAGGAAGCCAGTGTTAGAATTGGAGGTACGTTGTGCCCAGAGGAAGAAGCCTTTCTCTCGGACCGCCGTAAGGTTGTCGCAAGAAACCTCGCGTCTTACTTGGGCTTGCCGGAAGATGAAGTGCACCCTGATGACATACCTGTGATCGCCATGTGTGCTTCAGGAGGAGGCCTGAGAGCTCTCATTGCTGGAACAGGATCGTACATGGCTGCCAAGGAAGCCGGGCTCTGGGACTGCTTGACGTATACTTCTGGCGTGAGTGGTTCATGCTGGCTGCAGACTCTCTTTAACTCGTCTATCGGCGGCCAGGACTTTGGTAAGATGATTGACCATCTCAAGGCAAGACTTCACACGCATATTGCCTTCCCTCCAGAAGCACTTGATATCCTGACTACCCCGCCTACAAACAAATATCTTCTCCGCGGTGTGATTGAGAAGCTCAAGGGAGACCCCAAAGCCGATTTTGGCTTCGTCGATGTATATGGTATATTGCTTGCAGCCAGACTCATGGTCCCCCAGGATACAGCTGCTTTGAACGACAGCGACCTGCAACTTTCTAGTCAACGTGCTGTGGTAAAAGGGGGGGCGAACCCGATGCCAATTTACACCGCAGTTCGACATGAAATACCCAAGCCGTCCAAGCCAGGAGCTTACGAAGATGAGCTTGAGGAAATATCCAAACGCGAGAGCTGGTTCCAGTGGTTCGAGTTTACCCCTTACGAGCTGTTCTGCGAGGAATTTGCTGCAGGTATCCCTACATGGGCCGTGGGTCGAAACTTCAAGAATGGGAAGGGCATTTCCGCCGCTCATGGATACGCCGTCCCTGAATTACGTGTTCCCGCCCTCATGGGAGTTTGGGGGAGTGCATTTTGCGCCACGCTAGCTCATTACTACAGGGAGATCCGACCCGCGTTCATGGGCCTCGCCGGATTCAGCAGCATCGACGCCCTGATCGAAGGTAAAAGCGAAGACCTCACTCGTGTCCACCCAATTGATCCTGCCACCGTACCAAATTTCGTCCTGGGAATGGAGGGTAAACTTCCTGATTCTTGTCCCGATTCTGTCTTCCAGGACTCCCACTTACGACTAATGGATGCGGGTATGAGTAATAATCTGCCTATCTATCCACTACTTCGGCCGGGACGTAATGTCGATCTCATCGTCGCATTTGATGTCTCGGCTGACAGCAAAGAAGCAAACTGGCTCTCCGTTGTTGATGGTTATGCTCATCAGCGAGGTATCAAGGGATGGCCCATTGGAGCTGGATGGCCAAAATCTAATGCATCCCCCGAGGAAACGGCAGACATCATCGCCGAGGAAGCCCAACTAACAAAGGAAGAAGCGGATAAGAAAGTTGCTGTTGCTCAAAAGGCAAGCAGAGAACGCACTCCTGACTCACGTGGAAACGACCCCGACCTGACCTTCTGCAACATCTGGCTCGGCACCACAGAGGAGAGGATATCGTCCGCTGAACCCCCACCGTCCAAACGCCTGTTCCACGAAGCAGCTCTAAACGAAAAGGACTCCGAATTTCAACTCACGCAGCCTCATGCTGGTATTGCAGTTGCTTATTTCCCCCTTCTGCCAAATCCTGCATGCCTAGCTTTGCCTGATCCCGATAAAGATGAGCCTGACGCGGAACGCAAGATCCTCGACCCACTGGAGGAGGATTATCTGAGTACTTGGAACTTTATATATACCGCGGAGCAGATCGATTCCGCCGTCCATCTTGCCAAATGCAACTTTTCTGAAGGTGAGGACCAATTGAAGAGGGTTGTCAGGGGTATCTATGAGCGGAAAAAGAGAGAGCGGCTTCAGCGCGAGAAGGATACGGCTAGAACAAGTGCGAGCTATCTGGCATAGATGCTCGAAAATAGGTGTATATAGAAAAAAAAAAAACCAGCTACATAGTTTTTTGATCCTCTGCCTTCACCTCCCTCCATACGCCTGTTCTTCGCTCAAGGCAAGACGGCCGGGGCCCAGGAACCATCACGTGACCATTTCGCAACCTCCCGATTCTTCTTGTTGAAGAGCCAAAGTAAATTAAGAGAGAGCGAAGAGCAAAGCATGTCGACCAGAACAGTGGCCATAGACGGGCTATGGCTTTGCTTCCGGCCTTCGCTAGGCCGTTTGCTGTCTGAATCACCAAGACAGCGTTTTCCAGCTGACAATGCCGCTCCGTCGCCGAGGCGCAGAGCTTTCCACTGCTCCCCCAGATCCGCATTCTCTGCGGCATTCAATCAGCTGAGTATTGCTAAACCAGTCAATTCCTCGATGCCAGAGTCATATACTGCAGAAGGTAGCCAGGGCAAGGAACAGACTGGCTCCAAGTCAAAATCAGCGTCCAGTCTTCATAGAACACCCCGACCGAGGGAACAGAAGACAGTAAGGAAGCTCTTACGGCAGAGCAAAATACCGTCGGATCTTAGCCAGAGAACGGAAGGAAATTTGGAGAATATACTGCAGAATGTAGTTGAAAAGCTACCCAACCATACTGCTGCTCTAGATGTTGTTACGGAGCTTGTACGGAGGAGGCATGTGCGCCCGCAGACTCGGCATTATCGTGCGATGATACTTGCGAATACTCAATGTATCAGAGGCTCGGCTAAGCAAGTAGAGGCACTGTTAGATGACATGAAGGAGAATGGAATAATGGTGGACTCAGGGACTTTGCATGCTGCATTAAAGGTGAGTTGCTGCAGAGTATTGTCTTCTGTCTGTTGGTTAGAATAGCTTGCTGACAATATATACTCATCTGTTAGGCCCTGGCTGTACACCCCGATTATCTGCTTCGTTCCGAAATCATACGGAAACTCCGAGAGCGATGGATATCACTTAGCCCGACAGGTTGGCATAATATAGTGACGGGATATATTCGAGAAGGACAATTTGAAATGGCACTGGAGACTCTAGAGCACATGGAGTTGCAGCATGTACCTGTCCAAGGCTGGCTTCACTCACTCCTCCTCTACAACCTTGCGGAATATGGAGAGTTCGAGGAGGTACTGCACTTGTTGCGATCTAGAGTTGAAGCTGGCCTGACACTATCGCCAAATTTATGGCACCGTTTACTGGACATCTCAAGTGCTGCGATGCATCCTGAATTGACCCAGTTTATCTGGGAACAACAGGTCGAGCTAGGCCATTTGAATCCACCATACGGTATCTGTGACAATGTGCTTGCTATCAGCGCTCGAACAGGCAACGCCAGACTGGCGGCGTCGGTTTTTAAGGTGTTAGGAAACCGCAATGGTGTACTAACCTTAAATGATTATGAATCACTTGTTGATACGTACGTTGAGTCTGGTGACGTCGAATCAGCGATTCGCATCCTCTGCAGCATGGACAGCAGCAGTATCGGAGTCAAAACCGGCTCTACTAGATCACTCCTATCTCATCTCATTATGACCGGATCAAAGCCGACGGATGTTTGGGATACGTTCAAGCGGATGAAAAAAGAGGAAGATCTAGTTTTCCCTCTGCCCCTTCTAAATGTTGCGCTGGAACTCTGTGCTCATCTAGGTGATGCGAAGACCGCATGGGACTTATACCGGGAACTTCATACCCTCTGCTCCTCTAGTGTGGAGACATCAACCTTCAACATCCTGTTCAAGGCATGCCGCGGGTCCAACGATGCTGATCTGGCCGGCTACTTTGTGCAAGAGATGATACAGATGAAGATACTTCCCGACCGCAAAACCTACGAGAATCTAGTCCTGCTTTGTGTTGAGATCTCTCGTTTCGAAACGGCATATAAATATCTCGTTGAAATGAGTGGCTCCGGATTCGAGTTGTCAAGACAAGCAAAGGAAGATATTCGCGCTAAGTGTGACGGACAGGAAGATCCACATGCCTCCAAGATTATCCATGACTCCGCTGTCCGCAAGCCGGCTTCTCGAGGCATCATAAGGCCCCATCGTGTACGGCGCTCGTTTACTATCCCGGCCAGGGGTAAAGGAGTGGAGCCAGGGGAGGTGAAAAGAATAGACGCAACGGGTCAGTACGAGCATGGGGACTAGACTTGGCTTCACCTATGTATATCACTGTGCAATATCCAATGTATTATAGCTATCTATCAAGCATGTTTAATGTAGTCTTGCATTATGTGTTTCTATAACCTCTAAGATAGGCCAAGCCTTGTGCCAAGCCTAGAAAGACTACGGGTGACATCATCCCGCATTCTTCTTCCTTGCTCGGACATCTTTAAATGCAGGACAAGACGACGATGGACGCCAGGGCAGACATCAAATTGTAAAATTTACGGAGTACAATGGTGAGCGATACTCGATGGATGCCTATATCTGCGACATGTCTTCTAACCTCTCACGATAGGCCTCCGTTCTCCGGCGAATCGTGGCAGGTCCACGAAATCAGCACCCAGAGGCAAGCCTTGATCTGTGCTATGTTACCGATGACAGTAAGTAGATCATGTACCATACTTATATCTGGATCAATGCGCTCTATGCAGCGATGTACACCAATATACTAAACTATATCGCAGTAATAGCAACATCAGGCCCTTCTTCGACCTACCCTAAGCGCGCGTACCGAAACCCTACAGAAGATTTGGTCCGTTTCCTCGACTCAAAACACGGAGAAGATTGGTCGATATTTGAATTCCGCGCTGAAGGAACTGGATATCCTGATGATGAAGTATATGGGCGGATTCACCATTTCCCATGGCCGGATCATCACCCACCCCCGTTTGGACTGATACCCTCACTCATGGCCAGCATGCGAAATTGGATAAATGGCGAGGGGAAAGGTAAAAGGGTCGCCGTGGTACACTGCAAAGCAGGCAAAGGTAGAAGTGGAACTGTTGCCTGCAGCTATCTGATCAGTGAGCAGGGCTGGAGCGCAGAAGATGCGATGAAACAGTTCACGGAGCGCAGGATGAGGGCTGGATTTGGCGCCGGCGTGAGCATACCCAGTCAAGTTCGGTGGGTGAACTACGTTGAACGGTGGAAAAATGTGTTCAGCAAGATATATGTCGAACGACCTGTTGAGATTGTTGAGATTCATATCTGGGGTTTGAGGAAGGGACTTAAAATCGATGTAGAAGGATTTGTGGATGAAGGCCGAAAGATAAAACGCTTCCATCGGTTCGGCAAAGATGAGTTCTTCTACCAGAATGGCGGCAGTGTACCGCAAGATGCTTCATCTTCTGGAGAGGAAGAGCAAGAGAAGGGAGCGGATAAGCCAGACGTTTCGTCCTCAAACGCATCGTCTACTCCAGTCCAGTCTGCTCGGGAACTCACAGAGCCGGAGCCTGTGACTGAAGCAGCGTGGTCGGCTCTCGCCTCTGCTCCGGCTGATTCAACGGACAATGTCGTTCTTCGGCCCAAAAACCCAGTCATTGTTCCGACCTCAGATGTGAACATCGACTTTGAACGGCGGGCCGTGGTATCATACACAGATTGGTCTATGATAACCTCTGTCGGCCACGTCTGGTTCAACGCCTATTTCGAAGGTGGCCATGACCACGACTCCGGGGTATTTGAAATCGACTGGGAGGCTATGGATGGTATCAAGGGAACCTCGAGGAAAGGTATACGATCTCTCGAGCGTCTCAAGGTCGTCTGGCGGTACCATAAAACAGCCAAGGAAGAGGAAGCGCCTTCAGTAGGCAAAGAGCCTGAAGCTCAGGTGCCAGGCGCTCCTCCGCCTGGAAAGGTCATATCCGAGCCTGGCCCTGGGGAAGAAGTACCCGAAGGCCGTGCTGCAGACTGGCGGGGACAGGAAGAAGACGTTGAGGGCGGGGAGGAGAGAGAGCTTCTTGAGCCACTGCGTCAGCAGGAAGAAGGAGAGAACAAGGAGAGCGATTCCGCTGCTGCCCAGTCGGTGTCGAAGAGATGAACTAGATTCAGGATTCAATGTGGTATATACATATAGGGGTTAATTGGGCATGTCGTTGGTCCCAGGATGGTTTCGGTTGCTAACATTATATATAATAGAGACGGATGAAGTTTGGTATGTAAATAGATAAAGAGACAAGAATATCATGAGGCATTTCTTCTTAGTTTTAGCCTGCTCGAGCTAATGGTATTTCTATCTTCCTCTAAACGCAGCAGTGATCCGAGTTATAGATTCCGACCTATAGTATACATCCTCTTCTGAGCCGTATAACTCCCGCTAGCCCTAGTCTCGTTATACATGTTCGTTGGGTTGGTAGTTAACCGTAGAAGTTGGTGTTTGGTACTCGTTGATCGTAATTCGATATGAAGAAGGCACGTTGTTGGTTGCTTTGCTTGCATGGGTGTGCGCATGTGTTTCCATTATGATATTGAAGAGATGATTCGAAGATCGAAGATTGCGATATCCCAACAGCCATGTTTTATCTTCCCCTGCCACGTCCTCTGCCGCCGCGGCCGCCACGCCCTCCACGGTCACCTCGTCCTGAATCCCTGTGCTGCCTGTCGCCTCCACGATTCCGTCCTGATTGCTGGCTCTGTTGTTGGTCTCGGGCTAAATCAACCACTTCTTCTGGGACTCGGAGGTATTTTATCTGTAGACAGATACATATCAATGGTCAGTTGGCGTCCAACAGCAGATATGGTGCGTTCGTATGGACATACGTTATTTCCCCGAACATAAACTTCGGGCAGTCTGAAGAAACGGTCGCCCTCGGGACTTGTTTGCACCACCTCCTTCAACGTCAAGTTCATCCAGTTGTCACAGTTCACGAGGTGGCCGTTTAGTGTTTCTCCATTCTTCAACTCCACGAGCATTGGGTGGCCTTGCGCCGCGGTTAAAAGCCCAAGGGGCAGCTGCATTAAGAGCCGGGTTAGCAATGTAACTAGAGAAGGTATAGAGAAGCGGTTCGCGCAGGACCTACCATTGTGATAATGAGGTAGGATCAGAGGGTTTGGGGTAGAGGGGATGGATCTGGGCTCTTTTGATACAAGAGTCCTTCGCAGTGAAGTTCAGGGCCCGGTAACCAAGTAACCCGCAAGCCCGCTTAAGAAATCAAGCCAAAATATTAGCTGTCCACAGGGCCCCTATGCCTTGCGCTTCCTGTGTCTGTTTTACTACCATCTGCTGCTTCAGCATCAAATGAAACCAAAAGGCCGCGATCCCAGATTGGGTCACGTGAAACAAGCTGCTTGCCCTAGTTTTGCTTATATAATCAACCAAAATAAATAAGAAAAAAATACGAAGTTTTTTTTCCTCTTTCAACTCAACTTCAATTTCAACTCCACGAGGCTGAATGCTTGATAGAACAGCCTCACTGCCTTCAGATTGGCCTCGTGGATTGTTCATTGGCGGTGTGATGCGGTTTTCTGCAGACGCATCCTTATTCAATGGAGCAGTCTGCAGTCTGCCACCATGAAAGATGAGACTCTACCTGATCCGTCACGCTGAGAGCGAACACAATGTGGCCCAAGTCTAGTACGAAGAAGACACAAGTTTTGTTTCCGTTCCATGGGCTCAATGCTTACCTTCATTCTTGTTGGCAGCGCGGGCGTCACGGACTCGGCATTGACGAACCATGGGATGCTTCAAGTTGAGAAGCTAGCGGGATACCTTAGCCAGCAGGGTGTGCGTTTCACTCGCGTCTTCTGCTCTCCCTTGCAACGCGCTCGGGCTACAGCTGATGCATTGAAAAGCACTCATGGCGATACGATGGGAAAACCGTTCGTCGTTCCCTGTCTTCGTGAGAAGGACTATGGGTCGCTCGAAGGCAAGTCGTGGGTGTCCCCCAACGTCAATGTCAAGGAGAAGCGTGACAGCTTTACCCCTGCAGAGACTTTCGATGAATTATCCTCAAGAGCAAAGGAGTTTGTTAAGGACTTCTTGTTGCCTCTTCTACGTGATGGCAGCGACAACCATACAGTCGCTGTCGTGTCTCACGGAGTCATACTGTCTGTCATCTGGCGAACACTGAAACAAATGCGTGTCCCACCATGCTCGTCTTCTAGCTCTCATGGTATCCCGGGAGACCCTTTGGTTATGTGGTCAAACACAGGTTACCTGGAACTCGATCTTAGCATGGCAATGGCCACTGACCAGAACCAGACGGCCTTATCCAACCTGGAAATTTCCGTGTTGGCCATTAACAGTCGTCAGCATCTAACTAACTTGAAGCGCACTCGGGGCATCGGCAACTCCAAACACGACCCAAAACAACAAAAGCTGGGATCTTTTTTTCACCGTCGACAATGAACGATGAATTTCCCAAAAAAGGTATGTTGTCTCTAGTTATATTTACCCTCCTTCATACCACTATATATGATGAATACAATACACAGACCTGATCCGAACATTTAATGTGGATACCGTATTGTTGCCTTCCTTCTGATATCATTTTCCCTTTCACCATGACTATTATATCGATATTACTACATTGATCAATAGCTAACTGCTTTAGTTTCAGGGGTTATGCTAAGAGCTTGAATGTTTCTTGCACCAATACGCAGTACATGTATTTTATTTATTAGTGCAAGTAGCAAGCAGATTAACTACTTCTGAATTATATGACGTCATGATAAATGAAAGTTTATATATTCACCCGTACCTCGCAGCTGTGCATCACATCGGTCTACTCTAAATAGGCATACACTGCGCAACATGGCTTCGTCAGGGAAGGAGACACCGGAGGGTGACTCCATGTTGCTGATAGGGCTCCCGGAAGGCACACCCCAGATCCAATATACCGATATGAATCGACTCTACAACTCGGTGGAGAGACGGGCAGCGGCATGTTGCTCAGATGATACATTGAGCCCCTTCATTGTTGTGCGAGATATACCGCGTACCATTCTCCAAGATCTCGACGATAAATACCCGGACAAACCCCCGAAGGTCAGTGGAGATATCCCTGGAAATATAATAGTTGTCGAGGTTATGGCTAAGCCGCCTCATGAAACTGCAGCGTGGGCGTTGACGGGCTATATTGACCATGAAGTTATCAATATGGACCTTCATGAAGATATAATTATTACTGGGGCTAGTAGAGTAGAGAATGAAGACAAGAGTTTTGTCAAAGGTCCTGACGGTAGCTTCACGCTCCGGCACCACCACTGGCCCATTTTAGCTATCGAAGCTGGGCCTTCAGAGACAGAAGCTAGGCTGGTCATTGACGCAAGACGATGGTTGGAAGCAAAAGGCTCTGAGACAGAAACTGTCATCACAATACAAGTTGACCGGGAGCATCCTCACATATCTTTCAAGAGATGGCAGCACTCCGAGCGGCAGAGAGTTACGCAGTCAACTCAACAACCGGCCAAGGTAGTAGAGCAAGTGGACGTCTCTTACCACAACTCGGTCACCAATGTTACAGGGGAAATGGCTATATCATTTCGGGCCATCGCTGGTCGTGAGCCGCATAGCTCCAAGGAGAAGAGCATTGTCATTACAAAGAGTATTTGTGAAAGCATAGCTAGGAGGGTGTGGGTAGCTCAGGAATTTCTGTAACGTAAATTATATCACCCGGAAGGAAGCCAACATTCAACTTACTCTTTTCCTGCGATATATAACCCTGCTCTCATCCTCTTCGCTCCACCATCCACGCCCACCCTCCAAATAAATCTCAGTCCGCCGTTGGTGGGATCGAAGTACCTTCTCTCTCATGTCCCGCGCAACCTCGGGTGGCTCACGCGGCGGTGGCAGCCATGGAACTCGGAGCAAGCCCCAGTTCGAAAGCCTGCTGTAATCCCACATGACGTATCCCCTTTCGCGGAGAGGGATATGGTCATCAGCCATCACAAAATTATAACTAGACATTGCTAGATGAGTGGCCCTCCACACCTCGGCCGGGCCTCGATCGTCACGTACTCGGGGTTTTTGGATGTCATGTTTCAGCCGCTCTCCACTATACCTTGATAACGGAACACGGTCTATATATGGAGACTTATGTTGCTTAAGTGCGCGGTCAATCGAAGCTAGCTGAACGTTACGATGGGGATTGAGCATATCTCGACGATGTTCGAAGTTCTGTGTCCCGCCGAGACGAAAAATAAAGTGCAGACCGAGCGATATCTAGAAAAACGTATTTGTTAGCATAGTGGGGGAGGGAGTGGTTCATCCGCTGAGCAAATTAGTGTTGGAGACGGAGACGTACATAGTTGCATCTGAACCTGTTGATCGACAAAGCTTTGTATCCTTCATTATATTTAATCCCCCATTCACCCCACTCCACATCGTGTGCAGCAACATCGTTAAACGCTGTATGCAAAGTAAGCCTGAGAAAAAGCAAATGGTTATTATTGCGAGTTGGTTCCAAGGCTCACCTTCGTCGACTATCCTTAGCAGAAAATCCTGGATACAGATGATTTGTTCGTTCTCCCATGGAGCAAAATGATCAAAGTAAAGCTTGGAATGTTGCTGGAGGGTGATTGCTAGCTGTGGGTGCCTTTGAGATCGATCTTTTTTCTCCAATCTTTTGAATAATTCCCAGTAAAGCTCAAATCTGTACAGGGCCCGCTGGATACGGTACTGTTCTCTTTTTGTGACGAGCCACGGGGGTTTTACCTCATCTCCAGTGATAGGGTGTTTAGACAGTGCAGTAGAGATGAAGATTTGGGTAAACCTTTGGATAAGCTGATGATATTTCTCCAGTGCTGTAGCTTCACTTAATGAAAACCTTGGTCGCGGCCCCATGTTTCCCTTCAGCGATGTAAAGTAATGACCAAGAAGTTCTTGGACGATTTCAGCATTGGTAGTCGGTAGTCTTGAGGCTTCGAAGAAAGTAATCGCTTCGGGGAACACCTCATCGGGAATAACCGACTTCAGAATCCGGTCGATGATCCCTTGTGGATGGTATAACACAAGGTCTTTAAACGTCCTGCATGTCATAGCAATATATTCCAAAGTGCGAAAGCTATCAAGCTGGGAGAGGATAATCTCTTGGATTTCGACGGGGAGGGAGGTAAGAGTTGGGTGGTTTTCTTGTCCCGGGCAAGCGGGAGAGGTATCCATGGCTGATCGAGTAGTTAAGGCTTCTGCAACTCTTTCAAAACAATTGTTTATGTGTATTCACAACTACATAGAGCAAAACATGTAAAAACAGCGTTGCAGGAGTTGAATTTGGCTTGGGAGTCATGATAAATACAAAGTTTGGCCTAAGGCCCACAGCCGCTCGGTCCCCGCCAGGGCAGCCGCCCCGCAGCCGCCGGGTCCACTTAGCTCGTGTAACGAGCCTTCTAATTGGCTAGTTCGCTGGTGCTCTCTTTTAGTATCGTTTCACAGTTGACAACGTTGACCATCCTATTTTCTTCTATTTCTGACCCTGCGAAGTCCCCCTCCACCCAACCGCTGCCTGCCTGTAATATACATCAACTAAATTAGCTGCTGCATAGCCCACTCGCTGTCTCATAAATGAGCATCTTATATAGTGACAGAGGGTTCTTTATCTGCGATTGCTCTCCAGAGTAGCCACGATTTCTGCCTATGACTCATTATACATTGCTGCAATCTGAGGGTCTTCTATTATTTAAAGCCCAGGAGTTAGTTATATACCCCCGATATCCGTCAGTCTTTATAGAGGTTTTATGGTATGATACGAAGAACCTACTCAGCTACCCGCTGGGGTTGCCATACACATCCCGCCCCTTGGGTATTATTCAACTCACGAAAAGTTATGCAAGATTGGGACTGTTTGATTGCTGTTCTCCCAGAAGGTTCAATAGCTACCCTCCTATCCCCAGGGACTTGGTGCAATGCACGTTGCCGGAATTGGGCGCCTATGAAAGCAATTCGGCGGCAGAATACTCAAATATCTACAGTTATCTAAACGATTCTTATGGGGAAGACGCCGATGCAAGCCAGAATGAGGTTCTTGGGGATTTAGCGGCCAATTCTAAAAGGCATTTTCAGTGGTGAATTTCGCATGTGTCGTTAAACTTTGCCCCTTTTCTCTCTTAATTTCTCATTACATTATTTCTAGAAAATAATGCTAGTTACAGGATGTTTCATATCTGACGTACATCACACAATGGTTTAACTATTATAAATGGATTTATCTGAAGTCGATGTAGCAAGCTAAAGCCTTATACTTGCTGTTGTGCCCTAACTCTATACTACTAATAACGAGGAAGGTTTCTTAATTCCATCTCAGTACAAACCTTTATTCACACTGCCTTGATAAGAGAGAACCCGCCCGTAACAACTCTTGCGACGATGTAAGAGACCACGCATCCGGCCATCATCAACCCAGCAAAAACCTGTAGGCTCCAGTATGCCCCATTCTGCTGGTTTAAGATTGCTCCTGCAATTGGGTTACCAGTGAGTGTTGCAACACTGACACAAGTGAATAACACACCCTGGCGAACTCCAATCTTGCTCACATCAGGGGAGACTTGGCTGAGGAGTGCAGGCACCATGCCTACAAAGGCACCTGAGAAGAAGCCGTATAAAAGGCAGAAGACTATATATATTGCGGCAGAACCGGGGTTCACGAGCGTTCCTGGCAGCCAGAGGGCGAGGATAGCTATGGAAGAGAGCCCACATATACCAATCATTACATTGAATCGGCCCCATAGGTCACCGAGATAGCCCGGTAGTATACGACCGGGAAGACTGCCTGAGAATTAGCATGGGAAGAACATATTCAGACCAACGAAGACGGGAAACCTTTACCTCGCAGCATTAAGTATGGTAAGCAGGTATCCAGCCAGATTAGGGTCTACTCCGCTTGTCTGAGCTTCCAGGATGACGTAGTTTATCGGTACAAAAGTCGCAAAGAAGCCAAGGCAAGATCCCACTGTGAGCAAGACAAAAGGTACCTCCGAGAATGGACTGATGTAGTCTTGGAACTTGACCGGCCGAGGCACAGGAGCAACTCTAGACCGTATAGTCAAGTTGGCGATTACAAGTAGCACGAAAACCAGAAATCCAACTACCCTGAGAGTCCATCCAAATCCGATGCCGGGTAACAGCCGGGACAGGATGATGGGGAATATGGCTCCACCGAACGAAGAGCCGCTGGAAACAAGGCCGAATGCCAGAGCTCGCCTTTTATCAAACCAAGTTGCTGTCGATGCAATTGACGAGTAAAATGTGAGACTGGCGCCCAAGGAACCACATATGCCCTGAGCAAGAATGAACTGGTAGTATTCGTTTGAGATGGAGGTCATCATCAGTCCGAGGACCTGTAGCACCGTACCAATGAGGAGAAGCAGTTTTGGCCCATAGTTGTCGAATATCTAGTCTAGTGTTAAAACAGGGAGGTGTTGAAGTCAAGTATAAGGCTAAATGAGAGGGAGGTACGCAACCCTTCCGATAATGAGACCGGCGGCAAAGAGCACGAACGGCTGTAAGGATAGAATCCAAGAGATGCTGGAGGTAGAGTAGGACTGCAGCTGGTGGGACTGATAGTACTCTTGAAATACCCCAATGGCTATATAAATACCGTGTTAGCCGTGTGTATCTCTATAATTATATGTTGGGTAACTAAGGGAAAGGAGCAACTCACCGTTGACCCAGCCAAAACCACATAGATTGACGCACCAGGCGCCCACGACAACTGTCCAGGCGCGGAGGCCTTGGTCTGTATCCCCGGTGGCTTCGAGCTGGACGGGTGTTCCATCTGCCACGATGGTAGTGGGAACTTCTGGATTTGCCTTGTCTGTTGGCTCGCCCATACTAGCCAGTTAAATGCTGATGACCTGGTTCAATAATCGAATTTACCGATGTTGATAACTACTTGATAGTTATTGCATGGACAGTTCAAGCCATACTTTTCAGCCTAGCTGAGGAAGAAAGAATTTGACCAGGAAAAAGCATCCATGAGAGAGAAGAGCAGCAAGCTCTCTTCCCAATGGCTCAAATGATTGGTTCTAGCCGATGATTGACGGGCGAGCTCCTCAGGTACTTTGTCGTTTGCCTTCTGTTTTCGGGTTGCTAACTCGGTCGAGTCATGTAAGATGCAGGAATCCATTGGTTCTGACAGGCTAGTCAAGACGATGATCTTTGGGGCGATGAAACCAGTTAACTTTCAGATTGCAGCAGCAAACAGATGGTAACTCAATGGAGAGATTCCATGCTGCTTGATTAACCACTCCCACACTTCTGCTGTATGACTGTTCTTCCACGCGATTTCCATTACAACATCCATGACTCTGAAGGTTGAAATGCTGGGCTTTCACGCTCGGAAGACGGGGACTCACTCACGAGTTAGTTAACTAACTATAAGGTTGGACGGGACTCTGCCGAGTTGCCGAAAGCTTGTTTAACGGCCTAGAACTAGGAACACCGAGTCAGATCAAGCTGGGAGGACTCGCAGTGATTTATAGATCCAACACTTCTCCAAAAACCAGTAGTTAACAAACTGCTAAGGTCTCTTGGATAACTAACTACTGTTAACTAGTTAGTCAAGCAAGCCAAAGGAAAGGAAGTCGTAATGCGTTTCCAAGTCCTAGCATTTTGGACCATGGTAATATTGGTGCCTGTTTGGACGCTGTGAGTAGAAGCACTCCAACTCCTGTTTATAGCCCGGCTCAACTGCTCATACTTTATTCTAGCCTCTGTATTATTGGGAATAAGAGGCCAATTACGATGAACTGGTTTACTTCGCGCTCAGAATCAAGCCACACAGAACCATCCGAGGAGTTCATCAATCCTGCTCGCCCCGACCCTCAAGGAGGAAATTCGGCACAGTAGAATCGCTGGCCCTTTTTCTTCTGTAATGGCGGCCCGCTACAATTAGAACGAGCCTAGGAGGAGGTCTTTTCTTCAAGATGGAGAAGGGCTGATCCTTTAGTTCTATCTTGTAGCTCTTCTTCTTCTTCTTCTTCTTCTTTTTTTCCGTAGAGTCCTGAGAGTTGCCGCAAGAGCGTCCAAGTTAGGGAACTTTATTTGTAATGCATAAAAGGTTGTCTTAGGGCTAGGACTTGATAAAATCACCTGACCAACACAACAAAAAAAGGCTTAGTAAGCATAGGCTAAGTTATTTCGTCCACTTAAATTCACGCAAAAAACTTCAAGAACTTCGAGAACTTGACCTTTTGTTTTTCTGCCGTTCGTATTTTTGACGCGTTTTATCTTGCTGTGCCCCAGACCCTGCCCCAGACCGTTGAGCCCTTGCCCCGGAACATCACCTTGCTGAAGAGCCATATCGTTAATATTTACTTTAAACATGGAGTTCAAGTTTGACTTTCCCATAGCATCGAGCCCGGTCCCCAGCAGCTCCTTCAGCCAGCTCACCAGCGTGTCTTTCGGAGAGGCGGAAGATCTTGATCGTCAGTGCAGGGAGCGGTTCCAAAAATATGTCCCTGTTAATGCCCAGGACGACGTTGTCCGTCTGCTCGCTGCATTTATGGATCATCTCCCAAAAGATGGCTCCGTGAGGTTGATGCAGGATATAATAGCTCTAGATGGCGATAGTAAACTTCGCCAGCTCAGAAACCATCTCGTGGATGCCGTGCTAAAGTCCAGTGAGTACTCCGTATGTATATCTGCTATTTAAGGGAGAGCTACATTTATTCAGGCTAACGCTGTTTCAGTGCAAGCACCAGGTGGAAAAACTCCTGCTCCCACCCCATCTCCCTGTGGCGACACTCAAGTGCAAATTGAATCTCTTGTCGTAACATCAATGAATCCATCCTCTCGCAGCGAACAGTCTAAACTCAAAAAGGACTGTCTTAAGAGGGACGGCTATCGGTGTCAGGCTACCGGTCTTTGGGACTGCAAGTCCGTTCTTGACGGACTCATAATTCCTAACGATCATAAGGCCTCAACAACTACTGAAACTGCGCATATCCTTCCTTTTTCTTTGGGGAAGTTTGACGCGGATAAAGCCATCGAGGTTAGTGCTTTCTCATACTTAATAGATCTATACGCGGTATTCTAATTAAAGCGTCTAGACTGAGAACAAGGCAAGAATTTGGCAATGCCTATACAGGTACTTTCCGGGCTTACACAGAGTGCTCTCCCCGGAAACCATCAATACCCCTGCGAATGCTATCACACTCGACGGGTATATCCACCAGCAGTTCGGCTCTCTTAACGTTACTTTCAAAGAAACAGTTAGTACTCCATACAATATTTCCATTGAGTATGAGTGCTGGATAATTAACGGGTATCGCCATAATAGGACGACGCTCATGTTTACAAAATCATAAAATACGACCAGACAAATCACATTGCGTTCTCTTTCCTCCCTAGCAACGGTTTAATGGCTCTTCGTTGCGAGGATAGTTCAGTCCTAATGCCAAGCCCATTTCTTCTCTCAGTACATGCGAGAGTTGGAAAAATATTAAAAGTAAGTGGGCTAAAGGACCGACTCGAGAAAATTATGTATACCTTATTCCTCCCTTCTGAAGTTGATCCCAGTGGATCTACCGACCTAGGGACGATCGTGTCCAACAGGCTGCTTATACTAACGGACGTTTAAGAGATTGTCTTAGTATTGTTAGAGCATAGTGGCTTCGGCATCATTTCATCAGCATTGACTCCACCTTCAACTTGAGTGTTTTAAGTGTCGGCATTTTTCATACTGCATCATCGGAACAGAACGCGCTAAATCTTTATCTCCATGTTTGTCATTTCAATTCATGTTTTCCCCCTTTGCATGCACTTTGAACATGTATTACAGCAGAGTCTCTCTAAAGAGCCTAATTTCATAAAACTTGTGCCCTGGGATGTGTTAAACATGGCCAATCGTAGACCTGCCGAATTACATCCCAAATTAATAGTAAGGAGTTTTGCTACTGTATAGCGTAGACTCTAGAGAAACGGGTTTAACTCCTTAACCCTAATGCGTGTATATATATACTCCAACTTATATATAGTTATTCATTCTTGACTCTTGAGACCGGACTGTAGCGCTCCAATTTATCCAACTGTATGAAGTCAGGATCCATTTGAACCTTTGACATATGGCGCCTTGTAGTCGTATGGAGGAGACTGTCCGTTGTAAAAGGGGTCAAATGTGAGGAGGGTGAAGCCTGGATCCAGGGCAGCAATACCAGATGGCCAGCAAGGGTTAGCCTCCAACCCATCTCTATATGGTGGATTTGCCGAATGACCCCATGAGGTGAAACTGAACTCGGGTCGCGTGGGAATGTCGACGAGCGCCATCGTCTGCGTCAAATCCCCAGCCCTTAAGACCCTCCTATTGACCCCTGACGCCCGCTCGACCTTCCTTCTAAATTCCTGATCAGAGAGAGCCTTGACTGGGCCGATGAAGCAAGCTCCTGACCATATCTGGCCACCTCCTCCATTTTCTCTGCCAGGAAGCCATCTTATCAGTTGTCCCTGGGCATTCAATCCACTGTTTGTGCGCGCCGGATCGTTGGGACCGAGGAAGTAAGCTGGTGGATACTCATCTCTCTGACACTTAGTTTGGGCGCGGTTGGCTCCGTCCTGCCACCCGGCACCGCTATGCTGTGAAGACCATGCTGCGACTGCACTGCCTTCCTTCCGATCGTTGGCGGTGACGGCGGCTTCGGGGGGGCAGGTCAGCGTTGCCCAGTGCGGATTGACTCGAATGGCTGAGCTGTAGTGAAAACAGGCTTGTGATAAGGATTTAGCACAATCTGCTGTTGTTGCAGTGGGCGTTGGTCCGTATGAAATCGATGTGATAATTAACTCCTGCCTTACTGTTCTGCTGGAGACACATGACTGCACTCGGATTGTATTCTTGGCTCTGCAGAGGCACACCGTTTCCTTACTATAGGTGGGATATAGCATCTCTTCTTTTTCGGCCCTGTGGGTTTGGGCTTAGTAGGCGCCTTAGGCCGGGGCTGCGTGGGAGTTCTCGGGTTACCCTCATCACCCTTTTTACCACTTCCCCGGCCAATATTTTTTGGCTTTCGGAAGCTTGATATTCCCTCTGCTACTCCGCTGAGGATATCGAAGGCCTTCTTAAGGTCGTCTGGCACAAGGTCAGATCCGCCACATGGGCTTAACCACCACTCAAACGCGCCGGCAGGGTCTTCCGTCTCAGAATAAACGTATGAAGCCAGTTGTGCAGCTGTCATAACGGCATCTACTCCCTATTGTTAGCATCTATAGATAGAAGAAGAAGAATGTGTGTGTGTGTGGGGGGGGGAGTGGGCATAACATCCTACCCAAACCAGCACTGATAGCTCTCCCCGCAGGAGGAATAATCGCCGTGCCTATATCTATCACCAATTTGATAGTTGATAAAAGAATATAGCAGCCGATCTAGTACAGTTAGTAATGTTCCCCTCCGTGGCTAAATGGAGTCAAACGACGTACCTGACCGATGGCTGGCAACGCTTCCAAAAAAGTTGTTGCAAGTTCATTGAGAAATACACTATCACATAGGCACATCCCATCAGCAACTTCATACATACTCGAAGGATCTCTTACCCAGGGCACTTCCTTCTCAAGGGGCCAAAAGCCTAGGCAGCCCACGTTGTACATTCTACCGGCTTCTTTGGCGGCGTCAATTTCTGGTTTGCATGCACGGCTGCATTGTTCCAGGCCTATATGGTCATATGGGGCATCTTTGTAGACAAAACATCTATGTGAGTTTTGCCACCTAGCGTCGGATGTATTGAAGGCATCAGGGTTATCGCCAACCATTTCTGGTCCATCGTTGCTCCAATCAACTGGGGTTATGCATATATCGCCTGGACAGAAACCATACTTGCAGGAGAATATGCAAAGGCGGGTCATTTCCACGTCATTTTCGTCCTCGGCTACAACGTTGACCCCAGAATGTTCTTTCGGCAGGTTCCTTAACGGGCCCATCTCTAGACATGTACACAGACTTTCGGGGCAGAACCCCAAGTAGCAGGAGTATTCACAGAGGGATCCAGTATCAAGTGTTTTATCCCCTCCCCGAATACAGCCCATCCCGGATGAGGCCCTCTCAGGGGTCGATTCATAATCGGTAGATGTGAAAGACTGTAGGTCAACAGCCCAATCAATACTACCAGCAAAATTCAGGTCCTTCCAATCAGCGCGCCGTGTATCCTTAGTGACAGGCGTCATATAGCTGATATAGTCACCTATTATATATCCAAAGTGTGTTAACACTATGCTAGAAGAGGGGGATAAGACAGAGTCAACAAACCTTTATAAAGCATAACATCCGTGTTAGAGGCATCGTCATGGAACACATTAACACCATCACCACGCTTGATGATCTCGTTAATCTCTGCAAAAGAGATATAACCTGCAGTCTTAGTACATCGGCCCGGTTGCGCATCTGACTGGGTTCTAGAGCCAGTGAATTCACATAATGGTCCCCAGCAGCCGTCTTGGACCATATGGAATGATCTACCATAGCTAGATTCACCAACAAAAATCTTATTGTTAGGTACACCTGCTTTAGTAACTATAACCTTATATTAGCACTTATGTGTAAAAAAAGGGATAAATTTAACGTACTCATAGAAAGAGCATTGCGTGTCTCCGTCAAGTTAACTAGCACTCAAACGTTAGTAGCAAAGTATATAAATCACGGGTAAGGAAGGACGGGTTCCTACCATGGCTTCGGATACATTTTCCTGACGGACACATATCGAATGCATTTGCATTACCATAGTCCCACTGACCGTGCAGGTCGTAGGTCATATAGACGATATAGTCTATAGCTCTGGCGATGGTATCAATAGGAAATGCCTTCAGATACCAAAATGACGCAGGGGCTGCAATTGATACTGATTTATCTGGGCCCATTTTTTGCTTCAAAACAGTAAGAAACCTGAGATAGGAAAGGCCATCACGCTTTTCGCCAATTGGTTTACCACCAACCGTGATGTCTGGTGCCTAATAAAAATAGTTAAGACGAGTATCAGTGTAAGAAGTAAAGTTAGGACTCACTCCCGGGTACTCCCAGTCAATATCGATACCATCAATGCCCTCATCTTCAGCAAATTGGGCGAGGTTGCTGGCGAATGTGTCTCGATTGGTAATAATAGCAGAGCGTAGGATATTATACGTAGCAGCGTCGGTTGAATATGCCCAACCGCCAAATGAGACAATACGTTTAACATTTGGCAGAGCTTTGAATTCCTCCCATTGCTCTTTGGATTCCTTGATAATTGGCTTGAAAGTGTTAGGGTCAATTTCAGCAAAACCCCAGTGCATATGGGTATAGGATCCGTCAGTATTGGCATCTTTTGCCTTTAACTTTAAACAATTACGTTTAAGGTTGTAGGCTTCATAATAGCCAATCCGCTGAAAGCTTGCCGGTGGTCCCGAATTTTGCTTGATTTCATTGCCACAGTTAGACACACAGGTATTCTCGTAGCCCTTCTTCTTGCTACCCGGCCCTCCTCCTTCGGGCGCATTGATAGTACAGTGCCCGGGGAATACACCACAGTAGCCCCAGTTACTGCAGCAGGATTTAAGAGGACATGGGTTGAGATCAGCTAGTGAGATTGATTTGTTGGTTGGTTTTTGTGTACCGGGGACCAATGGGCCGCACTCAGCGCCTTCCTGAGGCGCAGGCATAGGTGCCGAACCATCGCTGATACATATCTTGTAGCCAACTAGAATGTCCTTACATTCAGTCCAGGCCCAAGTTTTGGCCTTATTCCAGTTTTCGAGGTCAGCAACGGTAACGCGATACTTCCGAGCAATGGCGTCACAAGAATCTCCATTCTGGACAATATGGCTGGCACAGGTGCCATCTGGATCAGGCTTTGGCGTTGGTGGTGTATAGGGATCTCCAGCCGAACAGCAGATGTAATTATTGGGCTGCAAAGTTGCGCAGAGATCTTGTTTGGGGTTGAATTTGAGAAAATCGGCACCCCTGATACCGCATCGCATAGAAAGAGAGGTGCAGCTGTCACCAGGCATGATTTGGATGTAGCGACACACATCGCGTTGCCAAGGAAGTTTGTG